TTTTTTTTTTTTTTTTTTGGTCAAAATTCTGTGACACTTCCGAATAAATTTCTATTTCACGTCTCACGATTTTGACTTGCTATTACGAATTCGTGTAATCATCTTAATTACGACTCACTATTTAGAGCACAACATCGAAACCATGATCCGATTACGCGTGTACCGCGTACTGTTACCTATTGTTGCGTCATACTCAAGCCAAGTTAAGCTCGATTTCGATTCTGCGACGTCTATCAAATCATGTATCAAACGGAGCACACGCGGACAGATACGGTAACGTTGTGAATGACTTGCGCGACTGATAGTATCTGACAGAATTTGTTAATTAATGATGGAACTTTGTCGCAATTTTGTAAATTAAAGCTCGAGACTGATCAGACAGAACAATGAAGATTTTGCAGATCGTATATAAATCGTCGTGGACAGTAGTATAATCGTTTATACTGAAAGTTCAGCTTTAAAAGAATGGAAACTAATTAGAGATTCGCAATTTGGGAACTTAATTCTCTTAATAACTGTGAATCATGGAATATCCGTCCCATAATCCACATTACTAGATAGAAAAGAAAGTCAAATAACGAAAAACAAAGGGAAAACATCCTTCCTCCAAATCTCATCTCCAAAAACAATTAGCAAATAAAGAAAAGAAGAGAAAAAAATTGCAAAAATTCCCAACCGTTCGCGTTGACCGTCTCTCTACCTGCGCAGAACATCTCCACAGAAGGACGTTCTTCCTTCACCTTGGAACGGATTCGCAATATTCCATTGAAAATTTATGTCACCCTCGATAAACCCTCGGGGGTCTGAAGGCTCGTAGCCTCTCAGCTTGTCCCCGCGTTTCTCTCGATGGCGCGACGGTATGTGTGTCCTCGCTTAGTTTATTCCCGGCATATATATCTGCCGCGTCTGAGGAGGCACGGAGGTTACGTTCGTTCCTTGGCTACGATTCACATCCCTCTCGCCATCCCTCGCACCGCCACCGCCTGTTTTGAGGGCTGGAAGACTGGTGAGCAGGGTTCCTCTCAGCGCGTGTTCCATCTCTTACATATCTACAAAGCCACGAATGCACGGTCCGTTCGCGTTGCAGCCATTGTGCATGATAATTGAAAATCCCGGGGATACGAGCCAGCCGTATTCCCGTGTGATTTACTGCTACTTCGTATCTATTACTTCTGAGATGGTTGGCGAAAGAGGGGGAAGGATGGCCAACGGGGTTGGATGGGGTTTCTCCACCACCGTTGGCAACGATTCGATGAGTTACGCTGATTGATACACCTACACGGGCAGATTCTTCGGGTCTTCGACGACGAGAATTTCGTCGGAGGATCATTCGTGCACGTGCGTGCTTGATGGGATTAAGAGGAAGCGTTTCGGCTCTCCAATTACATTTGCAGGGCGTCGCGATGATGATTGATGAAGATGGGAATTAGGCGTGAGCGACATTAGATGACGTTAGATGACTATTCGATTGCCGAGCGAGGGAAATCCTGGAGTGATTCAATTGTAAATGCACGTCGGATTAATTGAAATCGTGCACGGAGCTGTGGCAGCGCCAGCTGTTAAATGTACTTGAACTGATTAATC